TGTTTAGCCTCTCCATTGCTGCTATGCGTGTTGCCTCTGCCTTTTGTTTGTCTTTGCTGACAGCTTCTTTTTTCAAATTGCTCTATTTCTCAGTGTCATCAGCAAGAGCAATTAGGTCATCTAGCAGAGATTCTGCCTCTGAAGGCTCTTCTCCACTTCCACCACTTTCCCTCGACTCTCTAGCAATCTTTGTTTTATATTTTTTTAGTATGGTGCTATATCTGTCTCTCACAGACCTGGATGACAAATCTTGGAAGCTCTCGCCAGAGGCATTCAGATTCTCTGCTACAGTCTGCCATGCACTCCCTCTTTCTCTGCTCAAGTACTTATGGTGAAAAACACCCTCAGCAACAACCTCCTTTAACAAAAGAAGGTCTTTGTTGTCATTCCATGTCATAATTCTGATAGAAGAAAAACATTAAGTATGTAATTGCAAATTAAAGTACATAATTTTTATGATACTGAATATGAAAAAAGGGAAAACACTAAACTTAATATAAGCTTAAGTTTCAGTTGAMAATTATTTTCATTTACAAATAAGTCAAGTGTAATAGTGGCTTGGCTCAGTATCATTTTTTGTTTGCATGCATCACAATACACCTATTCAGTTGAAATCGGACGTGGCATGGAAACGAGGTCTAATAGCCCCAAATCAAAGATGGCGGACGACGAGGCAGACGACACGATGGAGTTTAATCAAAGTTTTTCCGGAAATGTAGCACAAAAAAAGAGAAAAATTGGTCACAAATGCTGCGCAGCCTCAAAGTGTAATAATAGAAGCGACAATCGGCCCGACTTGTCCTTTCATTCATTCCCTAAGGATGACGAAGTTCGAAAGAAATGGGATATCGCCATGAAGAGAGATGACAAGGAGTTCAAACATGTTAATAGCAAATTCTGCTGTTCTGCACACTTCATGTCCTCCGACTTCAAGTTCAGCATAACAGGACATAAGAGAGAGATAAAGAAAGGATCTATTCCTTCTGTTTTCGAGTGGAAAACAGCTGAGATGTGCACCGAGCGAGGAGAACGAGTTGCTTCACGAAATCAACAGACAGAGAGCAAAGCAAAAGACAGATTATTGAGGCAATTCAAGGACAGTTTAGCTATTGATAATCTTATGCTTCCAATTGAAGAAGAAGTTGTTTATGGTCCTTTGACACTCGAAGAATGTGTTAACAGTCTTCAAGAAGAGGTAAAAAAACTTGACATTGCTAAATTATTGAAAGAAAAGGAGGCAATTTCTAAGTTTGGTCTAGAACGATTCCCAGGAAGCGATGAAGATATTAATTTTTATACGGGGTTTCCAAACAGTGAGTCGCTCATGAAACTTTGGGAACACATTGAAAGCGATTCATCACATCTCACTTATTACAGTTATGTGAGGGACAGAACAGAGCCAAACAGTGACAACTGCTTCCCTTACCTTAACAAAAAAAAACCAGGAAATTTTCAAATGATGGTGTTGGAGCTAACCGTACCTTGAAACCAATAGATGAGTTTTGATTTGTCCTTTGTAGACTGCGTCTTGGACTCTTTGAAAAAGACTTAGCCCACAGATTCCATACATCAGTTGCAACTATATCAGATATTATCATCACATGGTGCAATTTTCTATATATTGTCCTTGGAGGACTTCCTTGCTGGCCATCAAGAAAGACTATCAAAGAGCACTTACCAGAAGCATTCAGAGGCAGATTTGAGAGAGTCAGGTGCATCATAGATTGCACGGAAATTAAAGTTGAGAAACCCCAATCTTTGGATATGCAAAGTGAATATTACTCTGAGTATAAATCTCACAACACTTACAAGGGCTTGGTAGGAATCTCACCAAATGTACGGGTGACCTTTGTCAGCCAATTATATGGTGGCAATATCTCAGATAGAGAAATAGTAGAGAAATCCCACTCTATTGATTTACTTGATCCTACAGATATTTTAATGGCTGATCGTGGATTTGAAATCAAAGATCTTTTGGCTTTGAAGAAAGCACAACTTTACATTCCCCCAAAAAGACAATCCTCACAAGATCAGTTTTCAAAAGATGACTGCTTTGAAACTATGTGAATAGCAAATGTGAGAATCCACGTTGAACGTGCTATTCGAAGAGTAAAGGACTGGCATGTTTTCAACCAAGTGCTACCATTGAACATGAATGGTGTTGTTAACCAAATATGAACTGTTTGCTGTCTTCTAGTAAATTGGCAGAAACCTGCCCTTACAGGCTAAGCTCTTCAATTTCAGAAAATATTCATTGTGCTTAGGTGTTTACTGGCTTCAGAAGGACTTTGCAAACATAATACATGACATAAACAATTTGTAAGCATAATAACAAGAGATACTGATTGATTTGTTTATTTATTAGAAAACAATGTCTTAATAATGTTAAATTGATCCATATAATATATGTAGACCCTTTGCAATATGTGGGGATGCAGTTCTCTCCGAGACAAAACAATGCTTTCTACTTATCATGCGAGTGCAAATCTTTTGTTTGTTTATTGAGTTTTACAAATATGTGGTGGCTAGACCTAGCTTGGAGCCGGTCTAGAATGGAGTAGTAGGGCGTCTCCTTCCCTCCACTAGCCTGGGTGTGCACCTTGGGCAAGTGCTAGTTCACCCTTAGCCTCCCGAAGTTAGGGTAACAACAAACCCAGAAATGTCTGCATGGTATCCATCGATTTCTGGTCAGGTGATACAGTGGCAGTACTGGTAGTCAACTCGGCACCAGTTCTGGCACAATCACCCGTTGGGGAGTAAACCCCACACCAAATCCACTTTCCGGATGTTTCGGATGCAACCTCCCTTTTGCCGRACGTATTGGCTCTGCCTCTCCTTCGGACTCCAATGGGGATGGTCGAGAGAGGTGTACTGGTGACGTAGGGCACCCCAGTGTCATCTTTAACCCCWGCCCTGGCCTCAATTCAACAACATCTTCGCTTTCGCCGGAGAGGACACTTCGGATGCCTMCATCGGCATAAATCCAACACGGGGGATGGTATTTAYCGGTTATAAGTCCAAGTCTGAAGGCATTAGGACAGGACGCCAGGGATCATCCTCGACAGTGGGAGAGGCTATTTAGCTTCTTTGGTCAATATTCGCCCGCTATAAGCTGTGCAGCCCTCAGCCAATAGGAAATTGACCTGCCGACATGATATGTGATTCTGATTGGGTGTTCAGGATTGACATTAACTCACACCTGCAAATCGAAAGTCTTTAAATCTACTGATTGGCACATGGAATGTGCGCACGATGACGACCGGACTGACAATGGACTATGAACCTGATGAAACTGACTACAAACTACGCAAATCTGCTGTTATTGACAGAGAGCTGTCAGCGAGATGTGTCGACATTGCTGCCCTCCAAGAGACAAGGCTACTTGAAACTGGCTCAATTCGCGAACAGTCTTACACCATCTACTGGTCAGGAAAACCGTCAGGTAACCCTCACCAACATGGTGTTGGCTTTGCTGTGAAGAACACGCTAATCAACAACATCGAAGGCCCCTTTGCTATCTCTGAAAGGTTGTGCTGGCTTAGTCTGGCACTGAAGAAGTGTAACCTATCAGTCGTGTGTGCTTATGCACCTACTCTCTATGCTGCACCAGAGGATAAAGACCTGTTTTACAATCAGCTCAGTGATCTCCTGTCCACTATCCCCAGCTCCAACAAGATCCTGCTACTTGGCGATTTCAACGCACGTGTTGGTCACGATGATGCCCTGTGGCCAGACTGTCTGGGCAAATTTGGTATTGGTCGTATTAACGATAATGGACAGCGTGCTCTGGAGCTGTGTGCAAGATTCCAGCTTTGTGTCACAAACACCTTCTTCAAGCTGAAAGACCACCATAAGGTCAGCTGGAAACATCCTCGCTCTAACTCCTGGCACCAACTCGACCTGGTGTTGACTAGACGGCGGGACATCAATGACGTCAGGATAACTAGAGCATATCATAGTGCAGATTGTGATACAGACCATGCTCTTGTCCTGTCTAAACTTTGCCTTAAGATCAAGAAATTCCACTCTGCTAAAAAGCCTGGACAAAAAAGGGTTGATGTTGCTAAAACAAACTCTACTAACCTAGCTACCTTGTTTGTGGAAACACTGAGTAACAAGCTTGCAGAGAAACATACTGATGATGCTGAAGATCCTGACCTCACCTGGCACATACTGCGAGACACCATACACTCTGCTGCGATCGGAACTTTTGGGTATCGCTCCTCTAACTGCCCTGATTGGTTTGCTGCCAACTTGGACATCTTAACACCAGCCATCGAG